AAGGATGCTCTTTCCTTATTTTCATAAACACGATGATAGGAAACAAAGTTACGAGGTGAGGTTGGCTTATAGTATCCAGAAATAGGTTGAAAAGCATGACAGGGGTAAACCTTTACCACCACTTCCTGCAGGTTTGTTGTGGCTGTGTGGAAATGAAGAGCTCGGGGAAAAAAAATCAATGGGATAGTTTATCCAGCAAGGCTAGATGTGTAACAAACATAAACAAGGGGATATTTGAATAGAATAAAACAAATTGCAAATGAAAGTCAATTTTCTTGCCGAACAACTTATTTTCTTGTCTTTAGGTCGCTGGCCATTTCCATCACCATTCTCATAGAGTAATTACTGCCATATACAAGAGCAGCGATGCCATGATTCACTCATATCACCAGGTCCAATGAAAAGCTTCCCATGCTATCTTTCCTGAAGCTGCAACAGATCTCAGCAGCTCATAAGTGTTTAAGGATTTCTGAACTTAAATTATAAAGAGCTATGTAATCTTAATTTTCTGCTGTGGGGAAAAGCATTAAGAAATTATTAATTAAATTTACCAGATTATTCATTAACCAGAATTCCTGTCTGCAGTAGTTTGTGACCATTGCTTAATGCAAACACAGTTCAATAAATGCTAAGCCTTGGCAGGCCATTCTGCTCAGTCCTGTTTGGACACTTCTGCAGTGCAGCATAGCCCATCAATGGAAGCTCAAAAGTTAAATTGTAGAGATTAGATTTTTTTTTCTTGTGCTGTTAGAACCTAGTTGTCATATCCTTCAGTTTAATAACAAAAATTGTATTCTGCGTGTGGAAAAAGTTGTGAAGCATCATTAAGCTCAGCTGAATATTAACTGTACTTGTGTACAAGTCATAACATGCAGAGAAGCAATGTAAAGGATTATTTCAGACTATATAAAGCTATTGGAGTCTGGATGACCTCAGGATGCTGCTAACCTTTAACCAGTAAAAACGGTAAACATGTATAGCCAAATAGCTGCAAAACAGGACATGTACATATCAATCCTGTTAATAGATCACTGATGCTGAATGAACATCAACGAAGCACAAATCTGGAGCCCTCCCAATACCCTGAATAACAATGACCTAAACCACGTTCACTGCACCATCATAGAAAAACAGTTAAGCAATTATTGACCAGCTAGACAAAAACAGGGTGTTGCCTAACATGGTAAGGAGACAAGCTGGGAGTGAGTACCTCTACCTCTGGACTAGCAGGTCTGAGGTCAAGTCGCACCTGTCCCAGGGGTGTGTCATAACATATCTGAACAGGTTTATTAAAAATACAGAAACAAAAACAGAAGTTGCTGGAAAAGCTCAGCAGGTCTGCCAGCATCTGTGAGATCACAGTTAACATTTCAGGTCTAGTGACCCTTCCACGGGAGGGATCACCAGACCCAAAACATTAACTTTGATTTCTCTTCACAGATGCTGCCAGACCTGCTGAGCTTTTCCAGCAACTTCTGTTTTTGTTTCTGATTTACAGCATCCACAGCTTTCGGTTTTAATTAAAAATACATACAATAAGGATCTTTTAAGATACTAAGTGCATGACTAAGTGCAAGAAAACAGAAGATAAAGAGTGAGGACCAGTGTTTTGTTATGAATGCGATTACTGATCATTGGCCCTTGCAAAGTATCATGATCCTGCAGTTACTGAGGTAAACTTAATAGAGTGTGAAGTGTGTGAAAATACTCTATCATACCCTGTGTGTTTTTGGAGCTTATCTAAACTGAAATTCTCTTTTAGAACAGCACACCCAATTTAGTCTGTAACTGTAATTGATCCAAGTATTACAACTAAAGCAAAAAGCAGATCTTAGAATTATAGTTTATACAATTTCTGAATGTTCATATGTGAAGTAATGATGCCCATTGTATAGCATCTGGTTGCACAGGCTTACATTATCTATAGTAGGACTCAGTGAAAAGCTTACCAGCAGTTTGAAGGATATGGTACCTGCTGTTGTTGCCTGCTTTCTAAAGATATCTGCAGCTGTCACAAAGATAAATCTACAGTCAAACTTTACTATCCTACCCATTAAGACATATCCTTCTCAGGACTGACAGCTGTGTGATGAAGTCTGATGGAACTCTTGAACTTGCCTCGTAAATTTTGAGCATTCATTAGAGACTCTGTCAACTTATTGCTATATTCCTAATGAACCTTAAGCCCTGCTGTCTGACAGCACCAGGGACCCAGGTTTGATTCCACCCTCCACCGACTGTCTATGTGGAGTTTGCACATTCTCCCGGTGTCTGCGTGGGTTTCCTGCCACAGTCCAAAGATGTGCGGATTAGATGGATTGGCTACATTAAATTGCCCATTGTGTCCAGGAATGTGCTGGCGAGGCAGATTGGCTACAGGAAATGCAGTGCTGGAGATGGGTAGGGGTATGGTTCTGGGTGGGATGGGGTCAGTATGGACTCCATGGGCCGAATGGCCTGTTTCTATACTATAGGGATTCAATGATTAATAAGAGCAATTAGAAAATAGAAGAAAAATGTTTGTGCTGACCGGATTCACAGACACCTCTGATGCTTTACAAAGCATAAGCGCTGTTGTGTGAAAATAATGAAAACCTTTTCTGTACGTTTAGTATTTGAAAGCAAATTGCTTCATTCTTAATTCAACTGACAACACAAACATTTACTCATCAACACCTCTGCAAATATGAGAAGCTGAATTTTTTAGTGATTTCACTTATGTTTAGTTAGTGTCCATGTCACTGCACATTTGAAGATTACATGAGGAAACAGGTTTAAATTTGATTAATAGAGCACACATGGACTGCAGCTAATACAAACTGCTAACTTTATCAAGATGCACACTATTGAATCAGAAGAGGAACCAACAAATATAGAGGCTATGAACATTGTGAAAGCTGTGTTACCACAGTGGCAAAAAAAAGGGTTTTTAATATTCACCTTTCATCACGTGATTGTTGTATCGAAGATCTTTCATGGACTAAAATGTTCCTAAAACAGGATAAAAAAGGACCTAAAATGGCTGCTGGATCACGAAGCAATTCCAGGAATCAATGTGGAATCAATTAAATTAAAATTACCATTTTTATTTAAAGACATTGAAATTGATTCAGATGCCAATAAACTCAGATCTGTATGTCCTATTTAAATTCACATTTGTATAAACATTTTACATATTGGGCACTTGCAAGTTACTCAGCTTTGAAAGACAATGAAGCAAGACTCAGGAACACCCAAAAAGAAACATAGAAAATAGGAGCAGGAATAGGTCAGTCAGCTCTTCAAGCCTGCTCTGCCATTTAACATAATCTAGTTGGTCATTTAACTCAGTCTCTCCTCAAGCCCTTTGATCCCTTTGACCCCAAGAATGACATCCAACTCCTTCCTAAAAACACACAATTTTTCAGCCACAACCATTTTCTGTGGCAGAGAATTCCATAGGCTCACCACTCTCTGGGTGAAGAAATTTCTCATCTCAATCCTAAATGGCTTATCCCATATCCTTAGACTGTGACCCCTAGTTATGGATTCCCCAGTCATCAGGAACATTCTTCCTGCACTAACCCTGTCTAGTCCTGTTAGAATTTTATAGGTTCTGTGGGATCACCCCCCATTCTTCTAAATTCTAGCAATTATAAAAATATAGAAAAAAAAAGGAATCCATTCAGTCCTTCAAGCCTACTCCACAATTCATTACAATCATGACTGGCCATCCAACTCAAAGTCTGTTTTTCCACTTTTCTCCATATGCTTTGAAACCTTTAACCTCAAGTAAAATTGCATTCCATCCACCAGCAGAACATCCTTCCTCAGAGGCGACCAAAACTACACAATACTCCAAGTGATCTCACCAAGGCCCTGTATAATTGTAGGAAGATATCCTTGCTTCTGTACTTGAACAAACTGAATTGTACGTCAAACAGCTCCTAGGTAAAGTGGGACAGAAAAGGAAGGATGGAATCATTACACAGAATTGGAAGGCTCTCTCTCTTCCTGGTATCTCTGCATTATCTCGAAAGATGGCACCCGTGAGAAAGTAATTTGGGAAAATAACCATTCACTAAGAACATTCAGAAAAGATACCTACTGATTCTGGTCCTGCTGAGGATACAAGGAAACCTTTACATAACTTGGCTCCAGGTGAAAGATGCAAGGACTCCAATGAATTTTAAACCATGTAGCCTTCATTCTTCCTTGCAGCACCCAGGCATTCTCTCCTTTTTGAGCGTCATATTCTGAAGCTGTATTTTATTATTTTACCTCATGATTTGTAGATAATAAAACTCATCTCTCTTTCACTCAAGAAAATCGTGTTAGATATTTAATTCTGAATTGTACCAATTGCAGTGTGCTACATGCTAGAAGGTTTTAAAAAAAAATCTACTGCGACCAACCAAGGAGGGGGGCTTGGGGTGATTAAAAAGAGGGGAGCCAAATCACCCTTCCTCAACTGGTCATAAAAACAGACAAGACATACAAACTGTAATGGTATAGTTATTGCTTGACCTTGTCAAAACATTTTGACTAATGCTGGGCAAAAAACACACTATGCATAGTCCATTGATTAAGCAAAACTGTTATTTTATTGTTCATGAATAAATGTGAACTAACAATAAAATACATTCAACTTCTAGGTTTGATAACTGTGGAGAATGTAGTGTAATTATTCTTGGTGTTAAAATGTGACTTAAAGATTGTTAAAAGGAATTGAAAAGACAGAATGCTTAACAAAAACAAACTTTAGTTTTTGAATATTGCATTTTATTTGATCAGCAAATACACCATTAATTTTTAACAAAACCAAAACAGTGAAGAATAAACATCTATTGATCCCAACATGTACAATTAAAAAAAATCCAGATAAAATTAGCACTTTAACACACAAACTTATATTGTCAATACAGACTGAATATTTTATAATAATATTTAAAAGATAAAGCAAGCTTGTTGCCAGTTTACACACTTAATTTGATAAACATAAAAGAAAGACATTTACCAAATGGTTTTTGAAAAGTTTTATTAAATAATTAAATCAGCCTAGTGTCACTCCTTCGGGTAACTCAACCATCACAGGAGCACAATCATCAGGTTCTTCATCAAAATCCCATTTGAACTTCTTGGTTAAATGAGCTTTAAATTTTTCTACCCGCTTCTGCAGAGCTTTGTCCAAATCTGGGTTGCATGCGTAAGAGAAAAACTCCTAATGTTAAGAAAAGAACAAAGTTAAGAGGCACAATATGGAAGAATAATTAAAAAGCTAAAACATGCCTTTATTTAAAATAAACTCAAAAGCTTAATCAGCAATAACACTCCAAACATTTTTTATAAAACTCTCAGAATCTTTATGCTTTTAGATATTTCTTATTCACCCTATTCAGAGATGTTTAACACTTTTGGAGCAGGTGGGACTTGAACCTGGGCTTCCTGGCTCAGAGATAGGGGACACTACCACTCCACCACAAGAACCCTTCTTTATACTATATGACGAACAAACATATCCTAAAAAACTACAAAGAAAACAACTTCCACAACCACAAAGTTCTATTCCCTTTCAACCAGTAATGCTGATAGGTGAAGTTCTTTGTACAAGCCCAAATAACACAATTCACTGAATCCAATATTAATATGATTCAACTCATTTAAATCTCTTCATTGTTACTTTCACTCCAGATGAGCTTTGCTGATTCTGAATGAAGAAATAAATCTGATCGGATTCAGAAGGAAATCATAGCAGGAAGATGGTCAATCAGCCTATCATGCCTGTTCTGGTTCTTTGAAACAGTATTTGTGCTTACTCCCACAAAAGTACTTCACCCTTAAGTACCTATCAAGCGCCTTTTAAAATTATTCATGGAAATTGCCTTTCTCCTGCTCATATGGCACAGTGTTCCTGAATCCAACAATACAGGGGAAAAAACCATACATTTTTAAAACATCATGTTTTATGTGCAAAATGTACTGACATATTGTGTGTGTTTTAACAATGGTACCTAACTGCCTAAATATTTAGATATGGTACTAACCCGATGTCAACAACTACCTTCAGTAATATAGTTGCAGGTTCTAACACTGCCGAAAAGTCAAGTCATCAACTTGCATATTAAAAAAAAAACTTCATCCACTGATCACAGAAAATGGCACAAGAAATTTATTTGTGCCAAAGCAAAAATGCATAGAGAAATTGCTATTATAAAACATAATGAAAGAAAAACAAATTAAGTTTTAAACACAAGAACCAACACCATAAACAGTTAATGCACCTTTTCCAGTGGACAATATTAAAACTTCTTTTCTGTATCACAAACTTTTGCTGCAAAACATGACTGCAGTTTCAAAAATACAGTTGCTTAAGCAGAAGAAAGCTATATTCTATTTATTAAATGTGTAGCTAAAAAATTTAAAGCGCTAACCAGAACATTTTCATATTAACTTTGTAAATCTGTCAGCAGTACTCTCAATCTCTGCACAGTCCCTCAAAATAAAGCAGTGAACGAAAAGTAAATGCTGAAGATTGTTTTAAATATTGGAGCATTAGTTGCTTTAAAAATACACACACAAAAAGGTACAAAAATAAGCAGGGCATACTAAATCATTGAATCTGGGTGACAGTAAGTAAAATGAAGTATCAAGAAAAATGGACCAAGAAAGACAGCACAATACCTGCTTCTCACAAACTGTAACCTACAAGAGGTTGGCAGATATAGTTGGAAGAACTCAGTCCCCATCAAGATTTTAGCATAGGACCACAATGAAGATTGTAACACAAAGTCAAAATGTTTGGATAGAAAGAAATTATCTAGAATGTTATTGAAGTTTGGTTACAAATCTGGCCCCATCCCCGCCTCTTCGACCTGTTTGTTTCCTCTCCACCCATCCTCTCCTCTATCCCTCTTCTATCCGCCTCCCACTCTCTCCCTATTTATTTCAAAACCCCCTTCCCCTCCCCCTTTTCTGATGAAGGGTCTAGGCCCGAAACGTCAGCCTCTCTGCTCCTATGATGCTGCTTGGCCTGCTGTGTTCATCCAGCCCTGCACCTTGTTGTCTCGGATTCTCCAGCATCTGCAGTTCCTACTATCTTTGATTTAAGACCGCATATTTTTCTAACAAAGTAGAGGAAATTTTGTTTTAACCAGCACCCTCAATAAACAGGCAAAAATTATGTACTTCAAACACCAGAAGTTTTACCGTATTACCGCAATCTCCAAGTAGTCAGTTGAGAGTGCATGTGAGAAGACTCTCAGCCAGTAAGTTTTATTTCAGACAAAGTAACATCATTTACAGCATAAAACACAATGTATAACAGTGATGTCTATAGCCCCTGCATTACATTCCTATTCCTGAGTGAGTGTTTTTACATTGATTACATGGGCCTCTTGGTCATCTGGAATATTTGATCAACCAGCACACTCCTGGTCCCATAGGTGCCAGTTAATTAAGAAGTTTGCTGTATTTTACACCTGTTTTGTGTAAATGCAAAACAGCAAATGCAGTAAATAGATGTATTCAGACAGACAAAAGTGACAAACAGAAGAAGATCTAACTTCACAATTTCAAACTGCAGAATGCCCTGGACAGCGTATCTTTCTTCCACTAAGAACAAAATTTGAGCATGTGATACCTGATGTCTTTCAGAAAAGAGGCAGATAGTATGTGTTAGACATACCATTCTCTTTTTATATTGTAGATATATGGAAGGTGTACCATAAACATTTCATAAAATATGTACACACAATTAAGAATTAATCTGACATTGCTAGAACACCTAACACTGCCTCTGTCATAATGCAGACATTTCCTTCCCTTTAGCATTACTTTTACCAAATTAAATCTCTCTGGTAATTTTTTATTCAATGCTTAAGTATTACAACAAATCTATAAATAGTAATACAAAAACAGAGTCAGATAAGCATGAATCTTTATCAATGTTTTAGTGCCACTATCATCCAGACAAAGCACTTGCTCCTCAAATTAAGCTGGAAAAGGATTATGGCCAATTCCGCTGACTGGTCAGATTTGCTCTAGCTAATCAATAAACTATTTCTTCAGCAGCTAATGCCATGATGTTCCAACAATAAATCAATACATAGAAATTCATCTACAAACACAACTCAACACACACCACCGCACCAAATAAGAAACCTTTCTGAAAGGTACAATAGGACCATTTGAAGTGGAATTGCAAAAACAATAATTAGCACAAATGGAACATCAAATGAAAAATGAGTTAGATTACAAAACTAATCATTTGAAAAATAAATATTTGGTACTTAAAATATTTTAGTAAAACATACTCAATAGTATTTCCAGCTCTCACTGCAAGGAATTATAGCGTGAAATCAAATTTAGTTTACAAAATCTAAAAGATTTGATGCTTGTGAATAGGTTGGGTTTCAAGAGGGCCTATATAAGGATGGCATTATAGTGATATTCCTTCATCAACGTTAACACAGTATCAAATTATTCATTCAAATATTCAGAAAACCTTACTCAAAAGGCATGAATTAGCATAGTTCAAAATCAAACTTAAAGTGTATAAGAAAGCTGACATCACAATTTTCTATGTGGATAAGAGGCTTGGGCATGTTATTATATGGTATTCAGCAATGTGATAAGCTACAGCTCTAACCCCAGAGGTTAATCATGTGTGTCAAATTGCAGGCCACAATTACCAACAGAGATGCTCTGCTGCACTAAACTGGAGGTCATGTTTTGAAAAGCACAATTGTGCTGATCACCATATTATTGATATGGGAAATTCCACAATGTCGAAATGGATCATTGTGCAGAACAGATTAGGATAAATAGAAAAAGGGTAAGTTGTATAGCAGAAAGACTCTTTGATTTCAATGTTTAATTTGCAATGCAGAATACACAATGATGACAGTCTACATAATTATGTATACTAAAGACTTCAAAGTCGTGAATTCAGAAACTTGAGAAACCACAGCCTATTGACCCCAGATGAACATGTTCCTCCAATGAAATATATGGGAACGCCACCTTGCATTGCCTATAATAGTCATCAAAACTGAACCTTGCTATCAACACAAAGGGCATCTTCTAATGCAAAGGATATGTATAAAGAAGGACAACATAACAGTGGTATCAATTTGAAATGCTACAAACTTGTCTATATCGAGGATACCCTACGTTGTGTTGTGTGGTACTATCAAGCAGAGCTAGCAACTCAAGACTGGGCATCCATGAGGCCCTGTGTGCCATCAGCAGCAGCAGAATTGTACTCCATCCCAATTTGTAACTTCATGGCCCAGGATATAGCCAACTTTACCACCACCATCAAGCCAGTGATCAAAGCTGGTTCAAAGAAAAGCGCAGGAGAGCATGCTAGGACCAGTACCATGCAAACCAAAAAATAAGGTGACAATCTGCTGATGTCACAAGCTGTTCCAGTGCACCTAAAATATTGGTTTATACCTGACAACATGGGAAATTGCCCAGATACGTCCTGCACAGAAAACACAGGGCAAATCCAATCTTGCTTATTACCAACCATCAGTCTCACCCATCTCATTGTAAAGTGATGCAAGGTATTGCCTACAGTGCTATCAAACAGCAGTGGCTCAGCTATAACCTGCTCACTGACAATCAGCTTCAGTTCCATCAGAACCGTTCAACTCCTGACCTCATTACAACCTTAGTTCAAACATAGACCAAAAAGCTGAATTCCCTCAATCCGAATGACTCCCCTTGAAACAATGGCTGCAGTTGACAGAGTATGGCATCATGGAGCCCTAACAAGAGAGTCAATTGAAATCAGAGGGAAAACTTTCCACTGGCTGGAGTCACACATGGCACAAAGGAAGATGGTTGTGGTTGTTAGAAATCAGTCATCTGAACTCCAGGACATCCCTGCAGGAGCTCCTCAGGGAAGTGTCCTAGGCCCAACCATCTTAGCTACTTCATGAATGACCTTCCCTCCACAATAAGGTCAGGAAAAGGGATACTTGCTAATGATTGCACAATTCGCAACTCAGATACCGAAATGGTCCATGCCCAAATAAAGCAAGGCTTGGATAATATTCAGGTTTTAAAGACTATTAGCAAGTGACATTTGTGTTACACACGTGCCATATGTAACGAGAGAATCCAAGTATCATCCTTTAGCATCTAATGTCATCACCATCACTGAACCCCCATTATCAACATCTTTAGGTTACAATTGACCAATAATTGAAGTAGAATAGCCATACAATTACACTGTCTACAAGAGCAGGTTTGACTCTAGGCATCCTGCAGCAACTAATTCATCTGCGATTCCCCAAGGCCTGTCCACCATCTAAGTGCACAGAGTGTGATGCAACACTTCCAATTTGCCTTGAATGATACTCCAACAAAACCAACAAGCCTGACACTATGCAGGACAAAGCAGCCACTTTATTGATACCATATCCACAGATATCTAATCCCTTCACCAATCACATTCAGAATCAGTGTGTACCATCTACAAGATGCACTACAGAATTTCGTTAATACTCCTTTGACAGCACCTTCTAAAGTCACGACGTTCTAGAAGGACAATGGTAGCAGATACATGCAAACACTACCATTTGCAAGTCCCCTACAAGCCATTCACCATCCCGACTTGGAAACATATCGCTGCTCCGTCACAGTTGCTGGGCCAAAATGCTGCAACTCGCTCCCGAACAAAATTCTGTTTACACCAAATGAACTGTAGCAGTCCAAGACAGCAACTCACCACCAGTTTCTCAAAGGCAACTATGCATGGGCAATAAATGTTGGCCCAGCCAGTGACATAAAAATAGAACTTGAACATCCAAGCAGCTCCAACAATAGCCAGTAACATCTCTTCTTGGTTCACATGTCATAATATAATCAACCTACTAAATATACAGTGAATAAGGGAAGAGAGGACTTAGTAGAATGCATATCTCAATCACATTGTATTAACACAATGTTAATACAATTACACAGCTCTTCCTTGAGGCTTTTGCCTAGTTGATGCTCTGTAATTACAAAGCTGAAAAAAATTAATGGTTTCCATCTTTCTGAGGAGCCTTCAGGCTAATCCACATCTAACAACTTGCTGTAAAAATTCTGCTTGTAGTTTGACAATTGTGACAAATTCCACCACAGCCACTGAGACAATCAACAATAAATAATCCTCACAAGGCTTTTTATTCGCTCCATGTTAACAGATCCTTTAAAAAAAATTCCATGATCTGGATCCACATCTTCGCCTAAAAAAAAATGATTAGTTCTTCCCTGCACCACACCTTATCTACGTACTAATTTCTGTTGAAAGCAAACCTCTGGTTTTTGAGATATACTGTTTACTGACAAGCAGACTAAAAACTGAGTGAAAACATTGTCAACATCCACCTTTATTAGCATAAGTAATAATGGAAATGGCAGAGGAAGATTGAATATTTCTCTTCATAATGCAATCAGAGGCCAGTTCTTTTTAACCTGAGATAACAAGGTGTGGAGCTGGTTGAACACAGAAGGCCAGGTAGCATCAGAGGAGCAGGAAAGCTGACCCTGAAGAAGGGTCCAGACCCGAAACGTCAGCTTTCCTGCTCCTCTGATGCTGCCTGGTCTTCTGTTTTCATCCAGCTCCACACCTTGTTATCTCAGACTCCAGCATTGGCAGTTCCTACTATCTCTCTTTTTAACCTAAGTTTACGTTGGATTCCTGAGCTGTTCCAACTACTGCTATATTAGACTAGCAACTTAAATCAGCCCTAACATAAAGTAAGCTAATATTTGGGGATAGGTTTGACTTAGGGTGCAAGAAACTACCAGCCAGTTCACTATCATACTTGCTCCAAAGAAAATTTGTCTGTTACAATACATCAGATGGCACAAGCAGCATTACATGAACAATACTCAAGATTTAGCCATGGAAATGCATAATTGACTCTTAGCAGTATAAAGTATTTGATTTTGCTGCCACCAGGTTAAAACCCCGCTGGTGTTCTATTACAGGATTTGAATTTACAGTGCAGCAACATTAACAGGCAAACATTTCACGACTTCGCCAAAAGACTACGAGACAAGCTTGAAAATACATTTGTGCCTATAATTTAAATGTAGAATAATTCTACTTCATAAGTTATGATTTTCAGTCAAAGCACAGAAATTCCCCTAAATAGTGAAAGGCAAGCACTTTCAGCATGAATTTTAATAAATTTTGTACATTGGTATGATCCAGAAAAACTACCTGCAAGGTTGTGGTGAGGAAGTTATCTTTGGAGACAATATCCACAAAGAAGTCAGAAGGAATTTCATTAAGTTGATGATAGAGGATTGAGATGAGAGCAGAATAGAGATCCTTTCGTTTCGTCACAGCCTCCTCAGAGTGACAGAGTAGACGAAGTAGATCCTTCCAGTGCTCAAATGCATCATAGACATGTCCGATCAGGAAACAGACAAAGGAAAACTGCAATTCACCTGCAGATGAATAGAAGACAAGTTAATTACATTAAAACAAATAAACTGTGTTTGGAAAAAAAAGACAGAATGCCGACAGCACTGGAGGCCATTTGACCCAATGTGTCTGTGCTGGCTCTCTGAAGGAATTGTTCATTTACTGCAACTCACCTCACTTTCTCCCCACAGCTCTACATAACTGTCAATGCCCTCTCCAAGAAACACTGCCCAAACCTCACCCATTCTATCTACAATAATGAAGTTCACTTTCCCTGGAAGGAGTGTCATGAAACCTTTCCACACCCTCATTAATACTTTCATATTCTTTCTGAAGTGTGATGCCCAGTACAATACTGGAAGCAAGCTTGAGTGGTTAATTGTTAAAAATTAGGGGAATCACAGATTGTTTTACTAGAAAGATAATACAACGTGCGTGCACTCAGCAGCAGCTTATTTGCTAACAATGGACGGAATGGAGTCTACAAAGTACAAGAATTACTGAGAATGTTGAGAGTTGTGTTTTAAACTGTCAAATTGCTTCCAATACAATAAAAAAGCTTGAGGTCTCAAGAATAGCTAATCAGCATTTCTATCTGGATGGAAGAGTCATATGATTCATGGTACCAGTGAGATGAGGCTTTGGAAGGAGAAGGGTATAAGATATCCCAAAAAACACAGACCAGATAATCTGGCAGGATCTAGAATAGGGGAACAGTTAGTGACAGTGTGATGCTAAGGTTCACTACACAAGTATGCAGCTGGGTGCTCACTCTTGGATCGAAAAGACCAAATTCATGAGGAGTTAAAATAAAGCTGAGAGATTCACTCAGTTTGGACAAAAAGAAAACACCACTTTGTGAAAGACAGATCCAAAATTAAGGCTTGGATTTTTACCAAGTTGGAATAACTCAGGAGCACTATAGAAAACGGCAAGAGACCCCGATTCCAGGATTCCTGACTGCATTCCTGAGCTTTCCAATTTTGGGGAGTGCCTTTTAAGGATGCAGGCTGGTTCAGGTTATTATGTGATACCAAGGATGCTTGACCTGGTTGGTTCCATTATGAGATGAGGTATGTTCCATACCTCCGCAATTTTCATGGAGTCAATGACTTTTTCAGCATCATAAATCATAGCTTACATAGTTCAAAAAATCTGTCTCGTGATCCCATTCCCAGTTGGCCCCTGCCTTCACCCTCATTGATTTCATGCACCTCACACCAAGGCATGTCATCAGATAACATCCTTATGATAGGCTACAGCACTTTCTTGTCCACCCACTACACTTGACAGAAACAATGAATCGTCTAATGATGCTAGAATGCTCCAGGACAGTGAAAACATTCTGATGTAAATAAATGCTGTGAAACTGTTGGTAGTGATCAGATAGCCAGAGCTACCAAGCAAGTAGGAGGCGGGTATTTCAGGACAGCATGAATGTCTAGAATCTCATTATGCTTTCATGGCTGAGAGCCCAGACATCCATTACTCTCTTGAAACACTTGAGCCCCTGCTTGATTGACAGCTCTGGCCATCTGATCTCTGCGATAGATTGCCAATATTTATGCAAGATTAAGAGGTTTCAAGTGCAGCAGTCTCAGCCAATTAAAATTTGAAAATGTCTGGATGTTTGACACTTGTTGCTTTTTAGCAGAAATTAGTTTTAATTTGAATGCAGTGGAAAGCTTTCAATGAATTACTTCTTTTAAAACACCTCCTACTGCAGCATTCATTGTTTCTTTATAGTGTACTGTGGATGATTCCATAATCTAGAATGAGAGCCTCAAGGGGTCACGGGCTGTTTGGTGGGGTATATCTTAGTATGGAGGTCATGAGGTGGCACGGGAAGCATACTGGGTGCGAGCTGAAGAGTCTTTCTGCTTTTATTCCAACTAAAAAACATCCTACAATACCAAGGCAAATCTTTTAAGAGACTGCCTTTGTATCTGGCATTGCCTGTGCTTTCCAATAAACCTTATCCCCGGTCAGCTGGTCCAACCACAACCCACAACTCTAAACTGCTTCCAACACATTAACATCTTTCCTCAAGTACAGTGACCAGTACTATACACTGATCATACCAGTGGCACACCGGATCTACTCTCAACATAAATAAAAATTTCGGAGAACTTAAGATCATTTCCTGGTTTATTGGCCTGCAGTAATATAGTTACTAGTTCAATTTTTGTTCATCATTTGTTTGCATGCAGCAAGATCAAATCACATCAAAAAAAAAGAATTTGGCAGATTTATCTAAAACAATTTTATCACATTTTGTCCATCATGGGCAATCCTTAGAAAGAAAGTCTTTGCTGATTCTACCTCGTGTCAACAATTCCAGATACTGTCTCACCAATACCATGTATGACTGAAGCATAACTACCTTATTCTTGCATTCAGTTTCCCTTGCAATAAAACAATGTTCTATTTGCATTCCTTATTAGTTACTGTACCTGCATACTAACCTTCTGTGATTCAGTCAATAGAACACGCAGATTGTTCTGCATTTCAGAGCTCTGCAAACTCTCACCATTTTGACAACATGCTTCTATTTTATTCTGTCAACCAAAATGGACAATTTCACACTTTCCCACATTATACTTCCATTTGCCAGATGTGTCCACTCAGTAAACCCATCTGGATCCCTTTGTAGGCTCATGTCCTCTTCATAACTCATTTTCCTACCTATCTTTGTGTGTACAGCAAATTTAACAAATAAACCATTGGTTTCTTCATTCAAATCATTTATATAAATTGGAAAGAGTTGAGGTGCCAGCACAAAACCCTGTGGCACACCACTCATGACATCTTGCCAGCCTGAAAAGGACCCAACTTCCTTATTCTGCTTCCTGTTAGCAAGTCAATCTTATGTCCATGCCAACATGCCACCCACTACTCCATGAACATGGTCCAACTTGTCCACACCGACCAGATATCCTAAATTAATCTCGTCCCATTTGCCAGCATTTGGACCATATCCCTCTAAGCCCTTCCTATTAATATACCCATCCAGATTCCTTTTAAATGTCGTAACTGTACCCACCTCCCCTGGCAGCTTGTTCCATACATACACCACCCACTGTGTGAAAAAATTACCCCTCAGGTCCTTTTTAAATCTTTCTTCTCTCGCCTTAAACCCATGCCCTCTGGTTTTGGACTCATATCCTGGGGAAAAGATGTTGGCTATTCACCCGATTCATGCCCCTCATGATTTTATAAACCTGTACAAGGTCATCCCTCAGCCACCAAAGCTCCAGGGGTAAATGCCCAGCCTATTCAACCTGTCCCTTTAGCTCAAACCCTCCAGTCCCAGCAACATCCTTGTAAATTTTTTCTGCAGCATCTCAAGTTTAACAGCATCCTTTCTACAGAAGGCTGACCAGAATTGTATGCAGTATTTTAAAAGTGGCCTCACCAATGTCCTGCACAGCTGCAACACGACATCCCAACTCCTTTACTCAATGGTCTGAGCAATGAAGGCAAGCATGCCAAATGCCTTCTTCACCACTCTGGGGTCAATAAATATGGAGCTATAAAAGCACAGCCAGTCAGACAGCATCTAAGGAGCAGGAAAATTGGATGCTGTCTGACCAGCTCTGTTTTTCCAGCTTCGCATTTATCGACTCTAGCTTCTAGCATCTGCAGTCCTTACTGTCTCCTTCTTCACCACCGTGTCTACCTGAGATTCCACTTTCAAGGAACTATGTACCTGCAACCCTTAAGTTTCTTTGATTAGCAATGCTCCCTAAGGTCCTACAATTAACTGTGTAAGTCCTGCCCCAGTTTGTCTTTGCCAAAATGCAACACTTCATATTTATCTAAATTAAAACCCATCTGCCACTCCTCAGCCCATTTGATCAAGGTCCCATTGAACTCTGAAAATCTTCTTCACTGTCCATTACTCAACCAATTTTGGTGTCATCTGCACATTTACTTAAAATGCCTCCCATATTCATATCCAAATCATTTACGTAAATTACTAAAAGCAGTGGACCCAGCATCAATCCTTGTGACACACTGCTGGTCACCGGTCTCCAATCCAAAAAGCAACCCACTACCACCATCCTCTTCCTCTTACCTTCAAGACAATTTTGTATCTAATTGGTTAGCTCCCCCAAGATCCTATTTACACATACAACTGAAATAAAAATTTCAGAGAACCTAAGATAATTTCCTGGGTTATTGGCCTGCAGGAATTATAGTTACTGGTTGAATTTTTGCTCATCATTTGTCTGCATGCAGTAAGATCGAATAACATCAAAAATAAATTGGGAGGTTTATATAAAACAATGTTATCACATTTTGTCTATCATGGGCAATCCTCACAAAGAAAGCTTTTGCCGTTTCCACCTGGTGTCAACAGCAAACACTCATAATAATTGTTAAGGCAGCAGTTTAACGCATGCAAAATTAGACAATATTGTCCCAACACAAACTAGAAGATTTTCTTTTTCCCACAAAAGATAACGTAGCACAGAATTGTCAATTTTATGCTGTAGTTTAATGTTAAAGAATTAGATTGGGAGAAAACAAATTAATTTTGCTTTGGATCCTTACAACAGACAAAGACTTGAAATGACCATTCTCTCTGTCTGGGCTGATCTTGGTCCCAGAGACAAGAACAAAAGAATTACCTCTGCAACGTTCAACTGTGCTGAGTTTGTTTTATCTTGGAATATCTTCTACACGGGATCACTAAAAGGGGCCAATTAGCCCATCTTTTCTGGGACAGTGCCGGTCAAGCTCAAATGAAAATTTTAAATCTCCTTGGACATTATTTTGAATTGCAAATAACATCATCTTATCAAGCAGCTCATACATTTTATTACATACCAACCTAATATATCTTTTGGGTTCAAAGGGTACCGCTGTTTTATTACAGTATCCAAGGCATAGCTGAAGTCCATGCTACACTTCGTAATTTCAGCTGGGGATGCTCCCTCAGGATACTTCTGTTTTGGAATTGTCGTGAACCTGATCTCGGTACCAGCTTTAACTTTCATCTTGGGCAGTCTGGCTAACCCCTCTTCATAGTTCTTGCACAACGTATCATAAGGCAATCGATTCTGCTCTGCTCGATCTTTTGTATGTGGCAGTGCAATCTCTGGCTGCACTTCAGAAAATGCACAAATTCGCCCACTTTCAGGCTGCAACTTCTGAATCAAGGGCTCTGTTATGAGATTGGTCAAAGAGACCCATCTTTTCATTGTTTCATATGGATATGGTCCCAAACATTTGTCCAGTTCAGTCAGATTCTCTCTTATCTGCTCTCTTTCTTCTTCCGAGACTGCAACTAAAACTATTTCTTCTTCCTTCTTGTCCCATCGCTTCACTAGAACTTCCCTCTGCTTTATATGAAAGAAACAACCTGTGCGTGGTCCTGTTATCCGAATATCTCTGCTGTTCACAGGGCTGCAATGCATAAAATGGATTCCCGGTGGGATCATCTTCACTCCTTTAAACTTGGGGCCTACTTGCCAACAATTATAATCAATGCCAAATTCAGTGCCCTCAGGAACACCAAGTATTATAAGAGTGCCTCCTTCAAAGAACAGTTTTTTGGCCAGTTCTTGATCCATTTCCACAGTAGCCATATTTTGGACCTGTATTCCAAAAGAGACAGAGAAGAACTTAGTTTAACATCACATCAACATCGAATTTACGTACATTGTTACATTATTGAGAACTATGGCCATTAACGGCATTTAATACTGCTCGTTACAGTAGCACCTTAAGTTACCACTATTATGAGTTGGCATTAATTTTGCTTTAGGCAATTTTTTATCTTCATAATTCTCAATTCCACACTTTAAAGTAACCCTACCCACTTTGTTCCAAAACCTTCATTCACACATGGTTACCTCAAAAATGAATTTTTCAGCTGGCCTCTCTTCACAAAATTAATCTACTATAAATTAGCTCCTGTGCCACATAAATAGTATCATATCCATTTTAACCTCACCAGATCCCTGCCTCTTTCTATCTTACCTAATGGATTTTTGTCCTATTATCAAATCCTTCCAAAGCTTTCCTCCAGCCTGCTTGGGAAATATCCACTAATTCAATATCCTTGCCCACATCATTTGTTCCCTACCTAGATTCTTGCTCATTCCCCACACTCCTCACAGTAGAATCAGCGATGGCTTTTGTTTACTCTGAAACTCCTTCTCTTTGCCATTGAGATTCTTTTTCTAAATTAGTCTCAATTATTCCTTCCTTTCGTCTTTAAAGCAGCCTTTGAAAACTTAATGAATCAAACAATGCCTTTGGTTAGGCCAATGCCGATCCCATTTCAAATTCCTTAATGTGTCGTTTGTATCCATTGCTCTACCAGCACGGAGATACTGCAGCATAACTGCATAAATGGTGAATGTGCGTGTAAGACATGATTCAATCCCTAAGGACAACATTCTGAATAACTTTACAGGCAGAGGCATTAAGCAATCTGACATGTTCCAATCTGTTCTTTTACGCAAGAATAAAGATCATCAATAAATTAAAACTGACGTTTTTGTGAAGATAAATGAACTACTTAGACTATGAAACAAACATTATACTTTGGTTAAAAGTTCTATTAAAATTGTTACTGCTCACTGATGCCAAAATCATTTCAACAGATGGCTAGCTATTTGCTTAGAGTACTTATGCAATTAACTAACTAGGAAGGACCATAGTCACTTGCATGTTTATTCCTCTCAGCAGTTTGCTGGGAAAGGTCAGGTAAATTCCAACAATGAAAACAGAATATGTACATTCATTGAAATTATTAAGAAAGCATAAACCCAATTGCTAAAACACACAACCAAATTATCAAAGACTGTATCTTTATGAAGTCCTACAGGGCATACAAAAAGTAAATTTTGCCAAGCCGAAGGCAATAGCATTCCACAGAAATATGTCCTGATGTTGAATTAGGTAGCAAAAAACTATGGTAGTTGTGCAAGCATTTAATTAAAAACCTATAGTTTAACACCAACAGTTCTTTATCCAGAAACCAACTATCCACTTTAAGATGATAACATGAAGGAGAAGTAGGCCATTCGGCCCATCAAGTCTGCACCATCATTCAATGAGACCGTGGCTGATCTGATAATTCTCAGCTCCACTTTTCTGCCTTTTCTCCATAAGGCATGAAACACCAAGAACAACCTAGTTTTTTTTAAATCAACCTGTTCAGATATGTTAGGAAACATCTCAGGCAGTTGAGCCTCGAACCCAAGCCACCTAGCCCAGAGATACAGACACTACACTTTGAACACAGGTCCTGTAATAAGAACCCAGCTCTTCTTTTAATATCTGGAATTATCACACACAACTGAATGTTTTTCTTTCCCACCACCAAATCACCTGTGAGACCTTCCACCCAATATCCACCATCCCTAAGTCATCCTTGTTTCCAGTTACTCAAATTATGGCAACACCCAGCAAGGGCAATGCAGACCACCAAAGGTGACAGACAGGTACAGAAAGACCAAGAGGCTAAAAGAACTAAGCTCTTAAAGACAAAGAACATCAACTGTCTCAATGTACTCTGGAGTTATTTCAGTTTACCCCTTAAATGGACCTGCATTTCTAACACTATCAAATAAGACCTGACTTACGATGTTATCCACAATGTGGCAATCCCTAAAAATAACAGCAATTTAAAAGAAATATAGTAATTTAAAAATTCAAACTAAAGCAGGGGTTTAAGGGAACAAAGTAAAATATTTTGGCCATATTGTTAGGATGAATAAGACTGAACATGTCCAACAACTGACTAGATACTCCCAATATCATAACTGGCCAGAGTCTGGGAAAAGGAAAGAATAGATTACTTCATACATTTATGCTGAATCTGAGTTTGCAATTAAAACTAAATCCCTCAATCCAGTAACAGGAAGATAATCTAGAGCTGTATGAATTTCTTGTGTTTTTCTTAAAGTCACTATTTATGACCTTTATTAGAGTCTATTATGGTGTAAAGGTTTGATTGCCTTAACGGAATTGAACTCCAGAGTAGATGCTTAGCCATAAACACACACACACACACAACAGGACAGTGAGGTGAAAGCTGGGTCTAATGCAGTTGATGTTAGGCGCCTCCCCTCCCTCACTCCCACCTCTCACATTCTCCCCCCTCACCCACAGACAGAGAGAGAGACAGTAGGAACTGCAGATGCTGGAGAATCCGAGACAACAAGGTGCAGGGCTGGATGAACACAGCAGGCCAAGCAGCATCATAGGAGCAGAGAGGCTGACGTTTCAGGCCTAGACCCTTCATCAGAAAAGGGGGAGGGGAAGGGGGTTTTGAAATAAATAGGGAGAGAGTGGACCCCGTCCACCGTCGCTCATTCACCCCTGAGCTTTAACTCCCTGCGATACGAACCGGCCGACCGCTGGAGCAACACCTAATACACACCGGGCCCCTTCCGGTCCGTCAATGTAACCGTCCCCAGCTGCACCAGCACAAACCGATCCCTGAGCTTATGGTTCCGCCCCTGACACTGCCCTCACTCTCAGCTCATTCCCACCTTCCAAGTCAATTCATTTTTACAAGGAATGAAGGTGATGTTCCATTCAACGTCTTAACCCCATTGTAAACCAAACTATTTAATCTATTGAATGGAAATAAAGATTTATTTTTTGTTTTATTATCTCCCCTCATGGAAAACACTCGCTCGAAGTTCTCTCCAGGCAAAGTATTATTGCACTTAAGTCTTTTATTTGAACGTAGTAAGGTAATATTGAATAAATAACGAATAAATTTCTCACGAAGAAGAATGTTGCAGCATAATGGTTGAAATACTCCTTTAATGTAACACCTCCACAGCCTGTATCCAGGATATTTAACACACAGTCCCGGCCTTCCTTCTGCCAGGTCACTGTTACTGCCACAACACCATTCCACATGACAGCCTGCACTTGTAACTCACCAATCTTTATTTAAGCCAGCTCTTCCTCCTAATCCTGATATCAACATTCTTCATAGACGTGCCTATTTTCCCTGTTGATTGTCCCTCTATTGTAAGCTCCTCAGAGCAAAGCTGTTCGATCAGGCAGAAGATACAGAACCTTGAACACACACACCAGCAGATTGAAGAATAGCTTCAACCCTGCTGGTATTAGACTGCTGAATGGACCTCTTTAATTTCAAATCTAATGTTGTCCTTACTTTTGTGTACCTCTGAGCAGTTGTAACTCTAAGCGCCCTATGATTTCTATGTCCTTCTTTGTTACAATCTGCCTGTACTGCTTGCAAAACAAATCTTTTCAACAATAAATCAAATTCTTGGGGTATTGCTTTCATCCAAGCTTGACACCGTGGTTGTTAAATTATTGTGAATGCCAGATTGTGGCAGGCATTAATTATAGGAAAATTCTAGACAAATCACCTGAAAATGTCCAAATGAAAACTTGTGACCCATTGGCTGCAAAAAACAAAATAGATTGGGTTCTCTGTTAGGGCCTTTCAAAGAACCTACCTCTTTCCTGGTGTTGCTGTTTGCAAGACCTGACTGGCTTTTGATCTTCCATAGGCCATGTCCATTCTAGAGTGGCTGATAATGTCTGTCCCTGCATCAATGTATGGAGAATGTCAGTACACTGTTGGTCAGCATGCTGCACCAACATTGAATCCAATCAAGGATAACAAGGTGTAGAGCTGGATGAACACAGCAGGCCAAGCAGCATCAGAGGAGCAGAAAGGCTAATGTTTCGGGCACCATCCTCCGACACTTCCGCCATCTGCAAGTCGACCCCACCACCAAAGACATTTTTCCCTCCCCACCCTTATCTGCTTTCCGGAGGGACCACTCTCTCCGTGACTCCCTTGTCCGCTCCACACTCCCCTCCAGCTTCACCACACCCGGCATTTTTCCCTGCAACCGCAGGAAGTGCTACACCTGCCCCTATACCTCCCCCCTCACCCCCATCCCAGGCCCCAAGAAGACTTTCCACATCAAGCAGATGTTCACCTGCACATCTGCTAATGTGGTATACTGCATCCACTGTTCCCGTTGTGGCCTCTACATCAGGGAAACCAAGCGGAGGCTTGGGGACCGCTTTGCAGAACACCTATGCTCGGTTCGCAATAAACAACTGCACCTCCCAGTCGCGAACCATTTCAGCTCCCCATCCCATTCCTCAGACGACATGTCCATCCTGGGCCTCCTGCAGTGCCACAACGATGCTACCCGAAGGTTGCAGGAACAGCAACTCATATTCCGCTTGGGAACCCTGCAGCCCAATGGTATCAATGTGGACTTCACAGGCTTCAAAATCTCCCCTCCCCCTACCGCATCCCAAAACCAGCCCAGCTCGTCCCCGCCTCCCTAATCTGTTCTTCCTCCCACCTATCCCCTCCTCCCACCTCAAGCCCCACCCCCATCTCCTACCTACTAACCTCATCCCGCCCCCTTGACCTGTCCGTCCTCCCTGGACTGACCTATCTCCTCCCTACCTCCCCACCTACACTCACCTTTACTGGCTCCATCCCTGCCTCTTTGACCTGTCTGTTTCCTCTCCACCTATCTTCTCCTCTATCCATCTTCTATCCGCCTCTCCCTCTCTCCCTATTTATTTCAGAACCCCCTTCCCCTCCCCCATTTCTGAAGAAGGGTGTAGGCCTGAAACGTAGCCTTCCTGCTCCTCTGATGCTGCTTGGCCTACTGTGTTCATCCAGCTCTACACCTTGTTATCTCAGATTCTCCAGCATCTGCAGTTCCTACTATCTTTGAATCCAATCAACACTGACACAGCAATTTCTGCCCCATCATCTTCAGTTCTTCAGTTGAAATTTCACTTTGTGTTCTTGCAAGTCTTAACTGGTTTGTAATGTGAACATGCATTTCAGCTTTCTCAACAGTTGTCAGGACTTTGCACATCATTGATTTCAAGATTTCAGAAGAACAAGTAAACATTCGAAAAGATATTCACTCTTACTGTCTTATTTTCTTTTTCAAATTCGCTAAATAATCTTGGGCAGTTTATTTTTTGCATTATGGCCTGTCTTTAATTGATTTATTTAACAATTGGCATTAACACAGAATAGCTGAGGTATTAATGCCTTATTCAGGCCAATTAACAATTATGTCACAATTATTGTTTGGTCCAAATAAAGCATGCAGTATTAATAGACTTCAATGGATTAATGGAAAATCTTAATTTTAATAAACCATTATGTCCACAATTTGGTATGTGCCCCAACATAGATATTTTGTGTAATGAAAGGGAGAATCAAGCTCAAATAAAAAAGCCTCATGAAACATTTTCATGAATCTGTAATAACCCCTAATAACTCTTTAATGTACTGGGATGGATGTTGTTATCAGCAGTGCAAAGCTGGTAGCACTTATGTTGCCAGTGCTCCTGGCCATTTGCTTGAGTAGTCTGAATACAAGGCAAACATAACATAATCTATCTTAGAGGGTCTCTTGTGGTGTGTTGGTAGTGTCCCTATAACTATGCTAGAAGATCTGATTTCAACACCTACCACAAAGGCGTCTCATAAAACATCCAAACAGGTTCATTTTAAAATAAAACCATCTTGGGTACAAAGGCTGTGTTTGTGGCACTGCACCACTAGGTGGAGCATTGCACCTGCATTTGTAAAATTAGAATAACACTTGAAAATTACGTGTAAACATCAGTTGGTTTTTCAACAAAAACAAAAATTGTTGGAAGAAGTCAGCAGGTCTGGCAGCATCTGTGGAGAGAAAGCAGAGTCAACCTTTTTGAAGTAACTCCAGAGAGGCCGATATTCAGTCACTAAGTCACCCTTTATCTGCGCGTGGTGAGTCCTCGATACTGATCAAGATCCCTTCGACCAGTTCTCAGCATGAACAAGGATGTCTGACACTCCGGTTCTTATCTGTCAGCCAGGGCTCCCTGATTGGACCAGATTAACAGCCCCAATCAGAGAACTCATATTCTATGGAGTTCCACCTGGCAGCCCTTGTTGGAATCACTGTATTCCTCCCCCTCTGAGTCTAAGGATATAGGCCAGTTCTTTTTTTTTTGTAGCTTCTCCTGAGGCATTTTAGCACCAGGTCAGGTTCCACTGACTCTGTCTCAGATACAGGTGGCATGTGATGCACAGTAGCCCGCCTCTTGGACCTGGAGTGCCTTGGAAGAAATTTACTCTCCTATTGAGGCGGCAAAGGCGTTGAGGTGGTGATATCAACCATATCCATCTCAGATTCCGAAGTATCTTCAATGCTTGATGGACAGGGAGAATCTGTGGGTTCCTCCAGCCTTCCTGGCTGTTCCAAGGAGCCAGGCACGTCTTGCTCCTGCCCCGTTTGTGAGTTTGCAGCTTTCATACAGTCCCCATGTGTTTGTTCAGGACTGTTGCACCTGCCCAAACTTTATATGTCACTGGTCCTGACCTTGCACCGACCATGCCGCTTACCCGTGCAGGACACCAAACTTCATCACCTGAGGTAAACTTTCTCTCTCGCTTAGCAGAGTCTTGTGTCCAGCACTGACATTCCTGATGCCATTTCACCCTCACCCCCAGGTCTGCGTGAATCAGATTTAACCTGGTGTGGAGTCATTTCCCCATTTGCAACTCTGCTGGAGCTATCACTGTAGTTGCATGAGGGGTGGACTTATAATGAAATAGGAACCGGGACAGTTTGGTATTGAAAGAGGCTGGTATATCTGCCAGTGGGAGGCAGCTCAATGCATCCGCATTTGCTACTTGGCCTCCTGGTCCATGTTCCAACTTGTAATTATACACACTTTGTATTAGAGCCTACTGCCGAATTCAGCCTGAAGCTTTGGGCGGCACTGCCTTGTCCTGTTTATTAGATCTACCAGGGGTTTGTGGTCTGTTATTATTAGAACCTTACTTCAGTAAAGGTATTGTGGATCTTCCTAATACCAAATATGTCCGCCAAAGCTTCCTTCTCTGTTTGGGCATATTTAAGCTCTGCATCAGCCAAAGTCCTGGATGTATGTGCTATTAGGCGTTCCTCTCCGTTGGGCAACCTATGAACTAATACTATCTCAATCCAGTGACCCTTCTTCAGAACTCGAAAGGTTAACACTGCTTTCTCTTTACTAATCCTGTCAGACCTGCTAAGTTCCTCCAGCAACTTATGTTTTTGTTTTATGTTTCCAGCACCTGCCGGTCTTTTATTTCAGTAATTTCTTCATAGTACTTCCACAGTTTAATGACAATAGTTATATTGTCTAACCACCTCCTTCTCTCTTGGTATTTTAGGAAACAAATGAGAAAAATAGTTGTGGGTTTAAAGTTTCCTAATAATATGGGTAATTTCAACATTTTTAGAGTGTCCTGAAGACAAGCAGTTCTTTACAAAAGTTCATTTTCTTTCCACCAAAGGGTATTATGTCACAGATGCAAATGAGCATGCAACGATGGATCTTGATGGCTATTCTTA